TTAAATTTTAAATCTAGTAGTTACTAATATCGAGATACAATTGGAACTAATCAAGTTTTATAATAACCCACATCACACTACAGAATTTTAAGGGAAGTGGTCCATAATAAAGTCACGTAGAAGGTCCTCTTTCAAAATCTCATTCAAACATCAATAAAATTCAATTCAATGTGGACTGGACCATTGTATGAACTAAATCCTCATATCAGGCCCTTTTCCGATGTTCAAAAAGATCTAAATATCTCCTTAACTTTTCACATTACAATTTGTTACAGCAATATATCCGGGAATTAAAAAGAGTAAAAATATTAAAACCCCTGGTAACAAATATCAATTTCAATTAAAATTGTGTTTACTTTGTTTTGAATTCAAACAAATCGGAGAATGTTAAAGTTTATCGCAATGGTTTTGAAGTTAGAAAATATAGTTTCAAGTACAAAAATATTTGACTCAAGTGTAATATTATTCCAAATTCTTAAAATTAAAACATTTTAAGAGGAGTTTAAGTTAAGTTCCAAATTATTCATAAAAAGAAATCTGAAAATTTTCTGGAATTATATTACAAATGTCTGACTCATTCTTAAGGAGTTGATAAAATTATTTTATATCTTTCGTGTTGTTATTGTTGCTGCTGATAGTTTTTGCAACGGATGAAGTTTTTGTATCACATTTCCTACATTTCATTTTTTTAGTACATATTTCCAGAGTCATGATTCATGCAAAATATTTCAAAATATTTTATAATGAAATTTTAAAAGAAAGTTTTCAGTCACACAGTTACATATTTAATTGTGTGTTATCAATGTTATTTTTATTAAAAAGAAGGAATAAAGAAACTGCTAAGTTTATATTAAAAACTTTAAGGGTTGATTAAGCTCTAGTATACATATTGTTTAAAACATATTAAATTATGTTTTAAGAAAAGGAATATCACACATACTTACACAGAGGGAAAAACAAATATACACGCCTGGTACCATATTGACGCCAAAGAGTTTATAAGTTTTCAATAACATCCGTTGTCAAAGTACATACATACGTACGACAACACTATGTAATGTTACCAACGCAACGTTGTCAACATTGCAACAATTCGTTGTCGAAATCTAAATTTTATACACATCCGTTGTCTAAATGTTAACAAACGTGGTAAGCTCACTATTGACAAACAAACCGTAGCCAATAGTGAGCTTACCACGTTTGTTAACATTTAGACAACGGATGTGTATACAATTTAGATTTCGACAACGAATTGTTGCAATGTTGTCAACATTACATACATAGTGTTGCCGTACGTATGTATATACTTCGACAACGGATGTTATTGAAAAATTATAAACAGTTTGATGTCAATTTGGTACCAGGCGTGTATATTTCTTTTTCCCTCTGTGTAGTTTTGTTAATACCCAGCAGTTTTAAAAGTTGTCAAGGTATTCTTTTTAGACAATAGTTTATGGGTTTTTAACGACTTACTTGATTCGTATTAATTTTTATAAATAGTTAATTTGCTAGTTATGAGTCAATTGCAAAGTAAATGTATAGCCATTGATTACTTAATATACCACCGGTAATCTAAAGTAGAGTCAATAGTCTCTTTAGTGTCCCTAAGTAAACAAAGTTTTAAATTTTTATCACTCCCCACTAATGACAACTCGAAAACTGTAAAGTCGGCAAATGGTAGCTGCCATCACTTGAACCATATGTCTCATTAGAACTGGTTAGTAAGTTAACTGCGTGTTTTAATAAAATAAATCTTTATATTTATTTTTAGATTAAAATCAATTACTTAATTATGTTTATAAAGTTGAAAATTAACTGTTTTTATTTCAAGTTGTTTTTTTTTTTTTGCCACTTTAATTATTGCTCCATAAATACAACAACAAACCCAAACACCATTAAATGTAATATAAAAGAATTCTTATAGCTTAAGATTTAATGAAAAAAAAACTAAAGAAATAATAAATAATCAGTAAGAATATAAGAAAAGAATAAAGTAAAAAAAGACATAATGGATACTTGAAATACCAACGAAAAGACACACCCAAAATACCACTCCAAAAAGGAGAGTTTTTATTTTCATTTTCGTTTTTTTTTAAAGAAGATACAAAACAAATGTTAATATAATATATTTACAAATTTTAACGAAAATACTTAAAGAGCTGGTTTTTATGTTAATGACTTTCAATTTGTTTAATTATCTTTTTTTTTACGTAAATCAATCCGTAAAACTAACGTTTCATTTACAAATTTTAGCTTAATTTTGTAAAAAAGTGTAGGGTGTAGGGCTTCGATTTGTTATTAACGAGATAAAATATTTCTCGAAATTCTGGAGATGTTCTTGGGTATTCAGAAAAAAGTATACATGAATATTCTAAAGCTCTGGGTCCTTGTTAGCTTATAACATGATCTAAATAGTTACGTCCGTCCAACTCTTAAGAGCGCGGGAGGGCTCGAATGGTTTTCACTGTTCAATGAAATGTGTTCTTGTGAAATAAGATAACTTATTCCCGGAACCCACATATTTATGCGTAACACCGGACTTTCATCGAAAACTCATCCATATGAGGACGATTGGCCAATGGATTGCATAATGAACTACACACAGAATTCTTTCTTTATTCTTTCCGTATGTGGAATTAACTTCCCCTGGAAGTCTTTCCTAGCACTAACAATGTAAGTAAGTTTACATCGAATGTCTACAAACTCTACTCCCTCTAACCTACCGACCATGATCTATTTTCCTAGTTCCAAGACAATGCACTGCATGAGTGAGGGTCATCACCTATGAGCTAGTCCAAGAAAAAAGTTATTAATAACGGTCCACAATGCAGCAGTTATAAATATGCAGCAATCGTTATTTTTCACAAGTATGTAGATCTAAGTACCCAGATGTCTTACTGTTAGTGTATGTCTCCAAATAATGTCCCTTTCAGACAATGAAAGATTTTAACCCCGGATCTGATATAAATTGGGAATAAACTAGTTTTCAATCGATCCATAATCCGATAATATGTCACTTTCTATTCAATATCAGTTTGAAATAAGGACATTAAGATTAAATAGAAACAAGATCTCTAGAATATAATCTACCGAGAATTAGTCAGATGTTTGTAAATCCATAAAGAGAAGTGACATCGAGCAGTCTGCACTCAGAGAACACTTTGATACCCTTCAAAGAATAGAGAGGAAAAATGAAAAAGATAAAGGACTGTAATAAAACTGGGGAAGAAGGGACACGACCTGGTTCCTGAATTATTTAGTTTCAGTTCCCTATGAGAATATGATAAGATATTAGAATCCTTATTATAGACCCCAATCGATAAAACTCATAAAAATTTACTGATAATACTTTTCAGTTCTTCGTGGAACTTCTGTATTCTAGAACAATTGCAAATTTTGTGTTTAATCGATTCCATCCATAGTTTCAGTTCCCTAAGAGAATATGATAAGATATTAGAATCCTTATTATAGACCCCAATCGATAAAACTCATAAAAATTTACTGATAATACTTTTCAGTTCTTCGTGGAACTTCTGTATTCTAGGACAATTACAAATTTTGTGTTTAATCGATTCCATCTCTTCAAAATCCTCGCATAAGCGGCAGAACTCCGATATTGCATTGTTCCATTTACTAATAAAAGTCCTAATTGAGCCGTGCTCCTTTAAAATCCCTTTCAGAGTTCTTATACTTTATCTACTTAGCTTTTACATCAGGCTAATAAATTTTTAACCCAAAGATCAAAGTATACATTTCTAAGCAATTGAGCAGACCTGAAGTCTTTATTTTAAGTCGATAGATTGGATCTTTCTAGTGCCTTAAATATGGCGGGAATATTTCAAACTTTGATGGTTTTCCAGATGTGGGCAAATTCGTTTCCGGCCCAAATTCTGTTGAAATGTGTTCTTTACAATCCATTTTACACTTACATTACTATACGATTTCAGTATTCAAGAACGAATAGAACACAATCAGAACTAGTCTATTAAAGACTGGGGACCAGTAAGAGATTTAACATATTTTATTAAAATTTAATATTTTTGTATGGAGACTCGGGTCTCTCCTCTTAAGGATTTATTTATGATCTAAACAATCATCCCTATCGCCAATAGAAGTGAAATTTTTGTTCCCTTGAAATTTTAATTCCCCTTGAAGGGAAAATTGCTATCTTGAACTTATTGTGAACAATTCATTCACAATAGTTGATTTTGTACGCAACAGCTGTTCAATGTTGACAAAATTCCATCAACAATTTTCACAATAGGGAAATTTTTTTCACCACAAAAAAGTTAGTGAACGAAAAAAGTGAAAAGGGAACCTATTTCACGTGAAATGTTGATTGGCGATAGGGGTGTTTATAAAATCTGAGAAGTTATTTAGGGATTTACGATTTAACTTGACGGTTAGCATGTAATAAATTAGCTCGTCTACCAGTCACCAAAGAATAGTGAGTGCAACCGCAGATCTGATATCAAAAGCTTTCTCTACTTTTAAATAACAAGTCTAGGTTTGCTATTTTCTGAAAATAAAGGCGGGCCTTTTAATAGCATATCAAAACTTATAAAGAACGAAACTAATTACTTTATTTCAATTTGCTGCCTAAACAACTGGTTTCAAACTATTTTGTTCATTTGTTGCTAAATGTTAGAAACATTTTTTTTTAAATTTTATTTTAAGTGTTTCTTAATTAAAATGTTTATTTAAAAAATCATCACTATTTAAAGTGTTGAATAAATGTGCGTGTCTAAATATTTTGCAATTAAATGTTCGTTATCTTTTTTTTTTTTTTTAATTATTCATGATGTCTTTCAAACCTCGTAGCATTAGTAACATATGGTGGTTATTAGAAAAGCTTAAAAGATATACACGATTATAAACACAAAATATTATTAAAAATTTAGGTTATTATTGTTTAAAAGATTTATCAAATTTGATAAGTTTTAAACTACATATTTTATATTAATTTTATGATTTATTTTTTCTTTAATTCTTTTTTTTAGATCGAGAAGATCAATCAATTCTGTGTACTGGTGAATCTGGTGCTGGTAAAACTGAAAATACTAAAAAAGTCATACAGTATTTAGCGTATGTGGCTGCTTCAAAACCTAAAGGTTCTGGTGCGGTAAGTTGCGTTTATATTAATATTTTCTTAAATTTATTATAGCACTATAATTAAAATTTTATTTATTTATTTTGTAAAGAATTTATATAATTTCTTCAATATGGTTAAACAAAGAAAATCGTTTAAAATGTTAAAATTTTTATAAAAAACATAGTTTTATTTTTAATAAAGAACACCCACTTTAAATTCTTAAACAAAGTTGTTATTAGAATATGTACGAGTGTTAAAGTCTCGGTTAAGTCGAACCTTAAATGCCCTTCGTTATAGTTCAATATATTTTAAATAAAACGTCTAGTCTATAGTCTAGTCTAGTCCATAGTCTAGTCCATAGTCTAGTCTATAGTCTAGTCTATAGTCTAGTCTATAGTCTAGTCTATAGTCTAGTTTATAGTCTAGTCTATAGTTTAGTCTATAGTCTAGTCTAAAGTCTAGTCTATAGTCTGGTCTACAGTTTAGTCTATAGTTTAGTCTATAGTTTAGTCTATAGTTTAGTCTATAGTCTAGTCTATAGTCTAGTCTATAGTTTAGACTATAGTTTAGTCTATAGTCTAGTCTATAGTCTAGTCTATAGTCTAGTCTATAGTCTAGTCTAATCTATAGTCTAGTCTATAGTCTAGTCTATAGTCTAGTCTAGACTATAGTCTAGTCTATAGTCTAGTCTATAGTTTAGACTATAGTTTAGTCTATAGTTTAGTCTATAGTTTAGTCTATAGTCTAGTCTATAGTCTAGTCTATAGTCTAGTCTATAGTCTAGTCTATAGTCTAGTCTATAGTCTAGTCTAATCTATAGTCTAGTCTATAGTCTAGTCTAGTCTATAGTCTAGTCTATAGTCTAGTCTATAATCTAGTCTATAGTCTAGTCTATAATCTAGTCTATAGTCTAGTCTAAAGTCTAGTCTAAAGTCTAGTCTATAGTCTAGTCTATAAACTAGTCTATAGTCTAGTCTAGTATATAGTCTAGTCTATAGTCTAGTCTATTGTCTAGTCTATAGTCTAGTCTATAGTCTAGTCTATAGTCTAGTTTATAGTCTAGTCTATAGTATAATCTATAGTCTAGTCTATAGTCTAGTCTATAGTCTAGTCTATAGTCTAGTCTATAGTCTAGTCTATAGTCTAGTCTATAGTCTAGTCTATAGTCTATAGTCTAGTCTATAGTCTAGTCTATAGTCTAGTCTATAGTCTAGTCTATAGTATAGTCTATAGTCTAGTCTATAGTCTAGTCTATAGTCTAGTCTATAGTCTAGTCTATAGTCTAGTCTAGTCTAGTCTATAGTCTAGTTATAGTCTAGTCTATAGTCTAGTCTATAGTCTAGTCTAGTCTAGTATAGTCTAGTCTATAGTCTAGCCTATAGTCTAGTCTATAGTCTAATCTATAGTCTAGTCTATAGTCTAGTCTATAGTCTAGTCTATAGTCTAGTCTATAGTCTAGTCTATAGTCTAGTCTATAGTCTAGTCTATAGTCTAGTCTATAGTCTAGTCTATAGTCTAGTCTATAGTCTAGTCTATAGTCTAGTCTATAGTCTAGTCTATAGTCTAGTCTATAGTCTAGTCTATAGTCTAGTCTATAGTCTAGTCTATAGTCTAGTCTATAGTCTAGTCTATAGTCTAGTCTATAGTCTAGTCTATAGTCTAGTCTATAGTCTAGTCTATAGTCTAGTCTATAGTCTAGTCTATAGTCTAGTCTATAGTCTAGTCTATAGTCCTGTCTATAGTCTAGTCTATAGTCTAGTCTATAGTCCAGTCTATAGTCTAGTCTATAGTCTAGTCTATAGTCTAGTCTATAGTCTAGTCTATAGTCTAGTCTATAGTCCCGTCTATAGTCTAGTCTATAGTCTAGTCTATAGTCGAGTCTATAATCTAGTCAATAGTCTAATCTATAGCCTTTTCAATAGCCTATTCTATAGTCTAGTATAAAGTCTGTCTATCTCGTTTAACTGAAAATTAGTTTAGTACTTTAAAACCTAAAAAAGTACGCTTTATAAGTTAGTACTATTCTAAAATTTATTAAATTTTCCATGCCTGGACGAGACATTATATTCGAAAAGTGGTTTAACTTTTTTAGAGAGTTAGCACTTTTTGATTATATTGTCTCGATGTGTTCTTCTAAGGGACGACAGAATTCTGCAAAAATAGTTATTATTCCGACTTTATTAATCCACATTTTTACTAAAGATTTCTTAATTAAAACCAAAGAAATACATATTTCTTAATTAACAGCTGTTGTCATATTTTCATTAAATGTTCTATAAATGGAATTAATTTGTAAAGTTCTATAGAAATTTCTCTTAAGAATAAAAATCAATTATTCATTGTTAATTAAACACTTATGTGTTAAATTTAAAATAGTTTTTCAATTAACAGATGTTGCGATTAAATAATATCTAACTATGAAAATCTATAAGATTATTTATGGCGGCAACAAATTTTCAAATAAAAATTTCCTTGAAAATTAAAGTCAATTATTAATAATTTGTAAACAAACTAAAACTTAACAAAAAAAAAAAAAAAAACAACCAAAATATAATAATGTTTCTCCTTTAGTGAGTCTGTTGTGTTCACCTAGTTAATTTAACCATATGACCATATAAAGTTAACAATTTACACATATTTTTTGCATTAAATGACAACAAAATTTATGAAGCAAAAATTAGTAACAGAAAAAAACCATAATTGATTATGATATTATTAAAAAAAAGTGGCAATTGTTTTTTTTTTTAAGTCTTTACAATTTATAAATTGACAAAAAACCTTGTCTAATAAGGAAACTTGTTCTTGAAAATGTGCAACAATAATATGGGAAAATATTTTGGCTAACGATTGCAAACAAAGTTGTAGTTTTTTTTTGTTAAAAACAAAATTGGTTAAAACTTCTTAATGTTTAAATAAACATTTTTTTCTAAATTCAAAATGTTTTTAAATTTATTTAGTTAAACAAAATAATAGATTATTTTATCTGAAAATAAAGAATAATAAACTAAAAGAGTTAGCGAGAGAGAGAGGAAGAGTTACAACAAAACTTTGTTTAATTAAAATTTATTTATTGACATTTGACGTGCACGCATGCGCCTTTAAAACTGCCATACAATTATAAGATTTTGACAGACATTTGTTATTGTTTTTTTTTCTGTTTTGTAACTTGTATTTTTTTCTCTCTAGTCATAGTAATTTTTGCAATGAACTTGTTTGTCATGTACTTGAATATAAAATAAGTGAAAAAAAAATAAAAACAAAATAAACAAGTAAATACATATAGAAAAATCCTAAAGTAAATTAATTGTTTATTTAGTTTTTCATCAACTTAAAAGTTTTATTAACTTTACGTTTAAGCGAATATCATGCATAAATTTTCAACTCGTATTTGGTTTGTTTTGTTACATATTTAATGTATTAATTAAATGCTTAATTGTGGATAAAATAAGGCTTGAAAATTTGAGAAAAATAACAACTATTTGTTTTACTATTGACATATTTTATTTATTAATAATGACAATCTAATGAAATGTTTAAACAGACTGATTTTTAACAAATTAATTAAGTGATCTTAGATTTTGATCAAAATTAATTTGATTTTGGTCGATCAAATTATTGTTTGTGGTGGGCAAATCAGTTAATCTTCTTTAGTTCTTCAACTTGCAAATTGATCATGATTATGTAGGTCTTGCAAGGACAATAATTAACCTTTAGATCCATATTAAAACCCGTTTAAAAGTGGCAATGAAATCTCCATCTTCTGCTGTTCCATGCATTAGAGATTGAATGTTAAGAGGAAGAAGGTCCGGTATGAGATAAAACTAAGTGTGCATTTGGATTCTGGATTATATGACCACTCAAGGCAGCTTGCACATATCCTAGCTTAACAGGGAATTATGCTAAAGATCAGCTGGAATAGTGCTCTCAGATATCGTTGATTTTAAATGGTCAAAACTCAGAAGTGCCGGTTTACGATATTTATATAAATTCCTGAGAGGTCCGCAGTCTCTTCCTCTATAAATTGGTGAACTTTATGGAAAATATGCATCAAGGAGTAACTCAACCGTTAACGCTTTGTCTAATTACCACAATCTTTTTGAATGTAGCTCGGAACAAATGTAGACTTGACTCTGAGATCAAGACATAAAAAACCTTTAAAAAGTGTCAATAAAATCCTTTAAGTCTCAATCTTCTGATGTTCCATGTAAAAGAGATTAAATGTTAAGAGGAAGAATTGATCTGAAATCCTTAGTTCTGGTATGAGATAAAGATCAGTGTGCACCTGGATTGTGGAATATATGACCACTCAAGACAATCTAGCACATATCCTAGCTAAACGGCATTATGCTAAAGATCAGCTGGAATAGTGCTTTCAGGTATCGTTGATTTTAAAGTGTCAAAACTAATAAGTCCCCGTTTAGGTTATTCATCATTTAAGGGGGATATGCGTCAAGGAGAAATTCAATCGTTACCTCTTGGTCCAATTGGTACAAACTCTTTCAATGTGGCTTGATTCAGAGGAAACATCCAAGCCGTTACATTATCAATGAGAATAGGCAACCCTAGAGATCCCCTACTAGCTCTTCCTAGGCGATCTAACTCGATGTCTGTTTACACAACAATGCTTTTAGTTCGTTACTTCTTGAACCGTTTTGTCTCTTGCGTCTTCAGGGTAGAAACAAGACAGTCTCGCAGCTGTAGTATTTCTTTCCCCCTTATCTCGTAGAGTAGCCAAGACCTCAAGGTTCATGATAACAGTGATCATTGTGAAGTATTCTGTGTGGGGATATCAGGTTTTTCTGTTCGAATCAACTGTGCAGTTATTCCCTCCCTAACAAAAGATTTACTGTAAGAATAGCGAGACTGGACCTCTTAGTTTATTTGGATTGATTCTAAGAGTCTAAGAGGGGAGTAAGAGGCGGCTTTTATGTTCCTAAAATTGAAATGGAAGTATAATTTAAACTGCGTGATTAGTGCAACATCCTCCAGGCTGTGGTACTGGCAGCAAAACTGCGATTAGATCCCCCCTC